AGATGAGCTCTGCAGTGCAGTGTGAACTAGGCTGCTGTCCATGTTCTGAGGGATCATTGTGAGCACATGCTGACAGCAGTGGACAACTCCGTGGGGTGTTCAAGGCGTGCTTCCGAGTGTTGGATGTGGTAACTCCATTTTCACAAATGAGAAGTATGTAATTGCCTTGATGTACAGGTCAGGAAACTGAGTGCTGAGGAGCTAAGTAAATTGTTCAGGGTTGCATAGCTCCTAGGTGGAGAGCTGATCTGAAGCCACCTAGCTGTGGTCTTGCATGTGTAAACAGAAGTTTTCTTTAATCTGGGACCCTTGAATCCATGCACAGACTTGTGCACCTGGTCTGAATTCCTTGAAATAATCACATTTTACAATATATGTGCATATATGTATTTCAAAAGGTTTTTTTTTAAGATTTATTTTTAGACCTGTCATGGTTGTACAGGCCTTTTTAATCCCAGCATGCAGGACGTAGAGGCAGGCAGATCTCTATGAGTTCCAGGCCAGTCTGGTCTATGGAGTCTAATATGGTCTATATGGAGTTTCAGGCCAGCCAGGGCTACATAATAAGACCCAGTCTTTAAAAAAAAAATATTTATTTTTATTTGTTTGGGGTGTTTTGGAATGGGGGTGGGGGCGGGGGGAGGTTGGATGCCCTGGAGCTGGAGTTACAGCTGACTGTAAGCTATCTGATATGGGTTCTGGGAACTGAACTTTGGTCCTCTATAAAAGCAGCAAGTACTCCTACCCACCTTAGATACTCTTCAGTCCCATCAAAACTTTTTTTTTTTAAAGAGCAGTTTTATGTTTACAGCAAAACTGATAGGGAAGTAGAGTCCCTTGCTGTACATATACCCCCACCCCCACCACCCCTGTTATCAGTGACCTCACCAGAGTAGTACATTGTTCTAGCTGATGAGCCTGCAGACACATCACTGTTCCAGAGCCTCCAGTTTACAGCAGTGCTCACTCCTGGTATTGCACAGTCTGTGGGTTGGGACCAGAGTGTGATGACACACTCACCAGTATAGCATCTGCCAGGTCAGCCCTCCAGCCCCCAGCCTCTGGCAACCATGTGCATTTTTTTAAATGTCCTTTTTTTTTAGTATCTGAAAAATGTCAGATTCCCACAGAGGCTATTGACCCTCAGATGCCTAAAACCATGGATTGCATCATTAACAGGCGGAAAGGCTGTTAATGGGGTAGACAGAGGTCAGAGACATACAGTCAGGCTCGCCTCCTCCCTTTCTGTGGGGCCTGGTGGCTGGCGTGGGCAGGGCCTGCCAGGACATCCCCCCCCCCCTGCAGCTCCTTCACCCTCTGCTTCTGTGTTGGCCTGGTGTGAGTGGGGCCTGGCCATGGCTGTGGCTGCAGATAGCTCTTACCATGGGTAAATGGGACACTGGCCACTCCATTCCTTCTGGCTCTGCCAGGACACCTGCCCCTTTTTGCTCTCCTCTCACCTAGAACTGCAGGGAGTCCTGGGAAGCATCACACAGTTTTCTTCTATCTGAGGCAAGCCTTTGTTGTTCTGGCTTGCCAGGTACCGCTTCCTCCAGGAAGCCTTCCTCTGCCTCCCCATCCCTCCAAGTAGTTTAAATACCACTCATTTTTCCACATCCCCTTTCCTTTCCCAGCAGTCACACTTGCTTCCCACCCCTGCACACAGTTTAGAGCAGAGGGGTAGAAGCCACCTCCAACAGAAAGCCCAGAGAGGCATAGGGTATGTTTAGGTTCAGTGTGTCACAGCACAGGTGGGACCAGCTCCTCATAACTAAAGCCAGAAAATGAAAAGTCCCAAAGATAGCAATGTTAACATGGTTTGTGTGTGTTTAGTATCAGTTTCTATCCCGTACATATAAAATATTTAACAAAAATGTGACCATTCATACAGACTGTTTCAGCAATATATGTGGTAAGGGTCTGAGAAGACAGTTCAGTCTCCTTACAAGCAGGAGAACCTAAATTCAGTCTTAATGCAGGTGAAAAGGGGCGGGGGCATGCTTATCATCTCACTGGGAGGTGGTGACAGGCAGGTCCCCTGGAGCTTGCTGGCCTGCTTTGTGAGTTTCAGGTCAATGAGAGACCCTAGCTCAGAAAAAAGGTGGGCAGCACCTGAGGAAGGACATCTGAGGTTGTCCAGTGTCCTCCACGTGTACCCTTGTACACACGTACACACGCATGCACGTGCATGCGCGCGTCAATTCACTTCTTCCTGTGTCTGCCTAGTATCCCATCACTGCGCTATGATTTCTTGGTTTTGTTTGTATTTTTTTGTTTGGCTGGCTAGTTGGTATTTGAGACGGGGTCTCCCTGTAGCCTCAGCTGGTGTGAAACGGGGTATATAGAAAAGACTGGCCTCCATCTCACAGAGATCCATCTGCCTCTGCCTCTCCAGTGCTAAGATTAAAGGTGTATGCCACCATGTCTAGCTTGTTTGCTTGTTTTGAGACAGGGTTTTGCTGTGTAGGCAAATTCACTATGTACAACAGGTTGACCTCAAACTTAGGTGGTCCTCCTGCCTCACTCTCCTGAGTGCTGAGATTGCAGGTATGCATCCCCATGTCTGGCTATCCTCATTGTGATTTCCAAAGACTGCCACCTCTTTGGAGACTTGCTATTATAAGCTGCACTGAGATTTATAGAGAAATCTCTAAAAAAATCTTTAATTTTATTTACTTTTTTTTTTTTGGACTTTTTGAGACAGTCTCCCTGTAGCCCCAGCTGGCCTGGAACTCACTATGTAGACCGCAGAGATCCACCTGCCTCTGCTTCTCAAGAGTTAGAATTAAAGGCATGTGCCACCATGCCCAGCTTTATTTACTTTTATTAAAACTTTGTGTGTTTGTGTATGTTGTGTATGATGATATGTATGTACAGCTTTCAGGAGTCAGTTCTGACCTTCTGCCTTTTTTTTTTTTTTTTTGAGGCAGGGTCTCTCTTGTTTCTGTTGCTTCCCTGCACACTGTAGGCTAGCTGGTCCACAAGCTTCCCAGTGAGTCTCCTGCCTTAGTCTCCTATCTGTAGGAGTGCTGGGATTATAGATGCACATTACCACATCTGGCTTTTCACATGACTTGTGGTGATCTAGCTCAGGTTGTCAGGCAGGCGCGTTCAGCAAGCACTTTTACCCATTGAGTCAACTCTCCAGCCCCTTTATGTTTATTTTAAAGTTTGTATACAAAATGATGGGTTTCATTATGGCATTTTCATAATGCACATCATTGTACATTCTTCTTTTTTTAATCTTAATTAAAAAAAATTTTATGTGCGTTTTGCCTGCATGTATGAAAGTGTACCCTTGTCATGCAATTCCTGTGGAGGCCAGAAGAGAGGGCATCAGATCCCCTGGAACAGGAGTTATGGATGGTTGTGAGCCACCATTTAGGTGCTGGGAACCAAACCCAGGTCCTCTGCAAGAGTAGCCAGTGCTTTAAACTGATGAGCCATCTCTCTAGTTCCGTACTTTATTCTTACCCCTCCCCCCAACCCCTGCTCTCTTCCATCCCTTTCCCCTACTTGCTGGTCCCTTCTTCCTCCTGTGGGGAAATTTTTATATGCTTCTACTACTTCTAGGATGAATTCCTTGAGGTACAACTATTGGCTGTCTGTCACATGGTACCCATGTTGAGCACATTGGATAGTCTTGACCTGGGAGGAAATGAGAGATCTTCACCCACAGGGCCAAGTCTGAGAGTCCCAATTCCCCATCTGTCTGCCTCAGCCCAGTCTCTCACATTTCCATGCAGGCATGGAGAGCTTTTGGGCCAACTGTTTAGTGGTGGCCTATGGGAAATGCTCCTTGGATTGGTGGGAAGTCCTTGTGGCTCCACTCATATAGTAGGGGCTAGAAGGTGGTGTCTGGGGCTGCTGTGGGAGCGTGGGAATTGGGGCCTTTGCACAATGTGTGTGGTCTCTGCTTATTCTTTCTAGCAGCATGGGTGTCCTGGCCTGGAATCCCCTTGTGGGGATCAGGCTGGGAAAAGAGCTGGAACCCAGAGTTCTGGCTCTCTGGGTAGACAAGGCCCAGTGTGGGGGGAAGTCCCAGCCTATTCCATGGATCCTCAGGCAGGGGTTTGGTCATCTGGTGCCCAGGTTTGCCTTCTCTGAAGAGGGGATTTATGGCTATATCTGAGTAGATGCTCACCACTCCAGTTTCCAAGTGTTCCTTGTGCCAGGCCCTGTAGACACAAGTCTCCCTTCACCCTTGGCCACAGCCCAGCATGGAAGGGACCTCATAAATGAGTTTACTGATGTTTCCAGGTGTAGTAACATCCTGCAGGCTTTCTAACCCAGCCCTGCGTTGGGCTCCTGCTCTGGCTGCTTCTGTTAGAGACTCCGTCCTCTTGTCTGTTGGGTGGGTTGCTGGGGTCACACAGAGCAAAGATTGGCAAAGGGAAGGGAAGAGAAGTGGAAGAGATGGATAAGGGAAGGGAGGGGATGAGAGGATGTGCTCTTTGGTCCCGATTTAGAATTCTGCCTCTTATTTTCCCAGACTTTACAACTTTTGTTGTTGTTTTTAAAATTTTGCCTGCATGCATGTAAGTGCACCTGTGTCGTGCAATGCCTGCAGAGGCCAAGAGAGAGTGTTGAATCCCTCGGAACTGGAGTTACGGACAGTTATTAGCTGTCATGTGGGTGTTGGGAACTGAACCCAGGTCCTCAGCAGAGCAGCCAGTGCTCTTAACTGCTGAGCCATCTCTCCAACCCTACTTGAAACTGTTTAATGTCTCATTTTGCCTCTGGATTTTTCTTGGCCTAGTCTTGGCCTGATAATAATGAAAACTAACATTTGGGGACATTGTGTTAGGTATGCTCTGAGTGATTTATGTTGGACAATATTTTGTCTGCTCCATTTCACACCTGGGAAGACTGAGACTCAGAGCATGGTTACCTCAGGTTGGGAGGCAGTCCTTGAACACAGGTCTGCCTTGTCAGGATCTGCACATCTGTGGTCAGCTGGCACTGAAAACCACAGTCTGACTCTCTCCTTCTTTCCACAGCCTTCACCCTGTGAGCCCAACTGAGAGCGGCATGCAGCATCCCCTGGTCTACCCAGTGTTTTCTGGTTTGCTGCTTAGCACCCCCAAGAGGCCCTGAAGCCCTGGGGCACTTCTGTTCTGCACAGGACCACCTGGGGGTTTGCCATGGTGACATAAAGGGGTGCAGAGGAAGGAAGGAGCAAGACCAGCCTGCAGACTACACCCCTGGCTGGGATAAAGGGCCAGGGGCCCAGATCCTCTACCCCACTGCCCTTTGAGCGCCTCATTTCTAAGTCTGTGAATTTCTTCAGTTGGTGGACAATTCTCAGGGCTCCTGTGTGGGGTCTTGGGGTGGCCGGGCCAAGCCAGGCAGGGCCAGCAAGGAATCAGGAGGCCAGGATGCCTGCCTTGGCGTGCCTCCGGAGGCTCTGTCGCCACATGTCCCCACAGGCTGTCCTTTTCCTGCTGTTTGTCTTTTGCCTGTTCAGTGTCTTTGTCTCTGCCTACTACCTATATGGCTGGAATCGGAACCTCGAGCCCTCAGCAGATGCCCCTGAGTCTGACTGTGGGGACCCTCCACCTGTGGCCCCCAGCCGCCTGCTGCCACTCAAGCCTGTGCAGGCTGTCACCCCTTCCCGAACGGACCCACTGGTGCTGGTGTTTGTGGAGAGCCTCTACTCGCAACTGGGCCAGGAGGTAGTGGCCATCCTGGAGTCTAGTCGCTTCAAGTACCGCACGGAGATTGCACCAGGCAAGGGGGACATGCCCACACTCACGGATAAGGGCCGTGGCCGCTTTGCCCTCATCATCTATGAGAACATCCTCAAGTATGTCAACCTGGATGCCTGGAACCGGGAGCTGCTGGACAAGTACTGTGTGGCCTATGGCGTGGGCATCATCGGCTTCTTCAAGGTACACAAGGTTTCTGAGTGGTTCCCAGCTCTGTCGCCATACCCACCAGCTAGCGCCTGATGCTTCTCATGGGAAAATGAGTTTGGTGCTTTACTTGCCTCCCAGGCTTGTGAAGGTTAGAGGTTGACTGCCTGGTACTGCTGAATGTTTATAAACATGGGGGTCACTGCTTGAAACACATGGGGCTCAGCACACTGTAGATACTGCTTGAAGGAGATGTGGGGCTGGGTGCAGGGTAGGAGAGGGCATGCTCTGCTGGGTGGTCAGATCTTGCCATAGCAGTCCTCTAAAGATAGAGAAGGCATGTACACATTTTGCAGATGAGCAAGTGAAGGCGCAAGAGTTAAGTTATCAGAGACTAGAAGTTGGGATGGTTCACAGGCAGCTGGCGTTCTCTACCCAGTGATCCTCCTGGAGATAGTAGAGGGAGGGGTGGAGTTTGTGTTCCTCCCAGACAAGAGCCACTTTGCACTGGGAGAAAGAAATCCTGCTAGGCAGGTGGCAAGCTGCTCTGGGCTCTGTGGAGCTCCCAGAACTACCCTCAGGATAGGGGTTATTGCTAAAGGTTTGTCATGGAGGGTTTGTCCTTGACAAGGGGGCAGGAACAACGGACATGGGATTCTCAGGCTGTGGTCAAGCAAGATGAATGCAAGCACCTGCTGGTACCTGACCTGGGTGCTTTCAGGGGACATTTGGTCATTGGACATTTGTAGTGTCTCAGGCTCTGTGCTAGGCTCTAGGGCATTAGAGAAATGGAAATGGATGAAATTCAGCTTTCAGAGCTGACATTTCTGCACAGTGAGGATGGTGGGGGTGACTGGCAGCCAACAAACAGAGGCTGTGGCAGATGAGATAATTGTGAAAGGAAGCAGAGTGGGGCCAGACATGGCGAGTGGGCACAGGAGGCCAGTGCTGGGTTCTGTGATCTGCCAGGAAGGTTGTCCCTGACGAAGAGGCCTAAAGGACTGGGAAGGGCACTGGGCTAAGGCTGGCTGCTGTATGAGTGCAGAGCAGGGAGTAGCATCGGGGCAGAAGGGGCCCATGTCCCAAGTCTCCCTACACATTGTTGTTGTGTTCAGTGCTGGGAGGGGCAGCTCTAGCCTGGGTTCCCACAGCATGTTCTTTCCTGCACTAATACAGCAGGAGGCTCTACCACTGAAAAGGGACAGTGAGCCAAAAAACTGAAGGCCCTTAGAAGTCCTGCAGTGGGGCGGCCCAGTGTGATTTGTTCCCCAGCTGGCTTGATCTCTTTCACAGGACACGCTCTGGGGAATGCTGGCCTAGTTTATGGCTTCACAAAAGCAGAAAGTCAGTCTGGCTCTATTGTCTGTGTGCTTTTTTCTTTTCTCCCGGACTCTATACCCTTTCCTGACATGAACTTCATTAAGGTTGATCCAGAGCCCCAGGCCTGAGAATCATCAGAACAGCTGACGTTTATTGAGAGCTCATTCAGTGCCATGCACTGCCTGCCAGCTTCACACAAATTAACTTACTTCACACTAATAAGCCATTCTCTGAGGCAGGCAGATGGCATGCTGGTTTAAGAGAGGAGGAAACTGAGGCAGACAGAAGTTAAGAAATGTGCCCAAGCTCCTACAAGTACTCTCCAGGATTTGAGCCTAAGCAGCCTGACTCCAGAGACCGGGTCTTACCATGGTGCAATGACTCCTGGAGCTGAATACACCTAGTGGAAGTCCGAGTCAGAGGCCCCGTGTGGTACACTGGATTCCTAGTCTCTAGGGACTGGGTGGGGAACACTGGGAACAGCCCTATGACAGAGCTGGGGCCCCAGGTCCTTGCTTAGAGAAGGTGAACACAAGGCCCAGCAAAGGGCGGGTACATATGCAGAGTCTCACTGAGGTCAGTGGCAAATGCAGGTCTTCCAACTCTGTTGCATAAGACAAGACCCCTCCAGGGTTTTGAGCAGAGGCCTGTGATGGTTCTACTCAAATGCACGCCCCCTGGTGGTTGAGGCTCATCTTGGCTCTTTCTGCCACTGTGCCTTGGACTTGTCAAACACAAGCGCCTGTCAGGGCTCACCATCCAGCTCTTGCAGAGACTCGGTTCCCAACACAGACCGAGAGCCACAGGTTTAAAAGTCCACACCTTCAGACATGTCTTTCTGAAACTTAGAAGCAGTGTGGCATTAGCCAGGATGCTCAACCCATTTGTAAAGTGGGTTGTAGCTTCTGCCTCAGTGGACCTCATTGGACAATGGGCGGGAAGCACTGAGCATGAGGCCCAGCACCTGGAGTCACTCCATTGATGGCAGCTGTGGTGTCGTGCCCACTCCATGTTCAGCAAACACAGGAATTGCACTGTCCGTGGCTCTGACATGTGTCACTGAGAGGTCCTTGAGGTGGGGGTTGGACCCTCACCTGTGGCCATGCCTGGCACTGCCACATATCAGCCTTGCAGTGTGGGTACCCTGTGTCTTGAGGCACCTTGAGGGCTGGCAAAGGCAAGCTGACTTTTCATGGCCCGGCATGTTGCTTTACATGCTGCATCACATTTCACTTTTAATAACTGCTTTGTAGAGTAGGCACTTTGTTCTCAGATAACATGGCTTAAAACGTTAAGTGGCTTTACCAGAGGGACAGCTAGCTTGCCTCCCAGCCAAGACTTGACAACCCGGCCCCATGCTTCTAACTAGATCAACCACAGGAGACCATGAAGGAACAAACTGAATCAGGGTGCCCAGAGATCCATAGAGGGGATGTGAGGTTCCCAAAGCAACCCGCCAGTTCACAACAATGTCTGTGCTAGGCTTCGATCTCCCACTCCCAGCTCAGGCTCTTCGTTTGTCTGGGTAACCCCTTTGGGAAAGTAACTGTCTCCTGAATGCGTCTTTAGTGCTGAGGAGTGGAAGGAGGCCCACACTAGATGGGCTCTGTGACGGGCCAGCATCCGTTATGCCGAAGCCCTCCATTCCCTTCCCTAGCTGGGTCCTTTCATTGCTGCCTGCAGTGGGTTTCATGACCTGGCTCTCCTTTCTTAGGACTGTGCAGCCAGACAAGCTGCCAGCACCTGGCAGTGAGTTCAGAGCCAGGACTTTGAAATGGGATCCTTGAGCTCTCATGTCTGCAGTGGCTTCCCAGCCCGCAGCAGTGGTAAACAGGGCTTGATGTGTCTCAGTCCCTGACATAGCCCACACAGGCCACACTCTGAGCCACTGCTGATTTGGGGTGACTTGGAGCAGGGAGCCTGGGGAAGTCATCTCTAAGGATGGGCCTCAGTCCTGTGCCTCTGCACCAAGGCTGGCTCAGGACGGGAGCTTGTCAGGTACTCCTTGAATTTGGAAATCTAGTGTAGCTCCTTACTCAGTCCCCCACAGAGGTGTTGTGGGAATGAGAAAGAAGCTAGACTATAAAGATTAGTAAAGGGCACCCTCTGGACAGGTGCAGCTGTGTCCAGGGCACACAGCCTGGCCTAGACCCTACCCCCAATTCACTGATCAGCTGTGTGCCCTAGCATGGTGTTCACTAGAGCAGCCCTGTGGCGTAACAGGGTGACCCTACCTTTATTTCCAGATTCAAGTAGAACCTGTACCCTTTGCTTCAGAACCCTTGGATAGCATCTTTGAAGGCTCCTGGTATCACTTAAGCCTCCAGGGACATGTAGGTCTGGCCTCTACTGGTCTTGCCTCCTCCTCCTTTCTGTCTGATCACTTTCTGGCCCTTTGCTATTTCCTGACCATACTGAGCTCTCTCCTGCCTCAGGCCCTTTTCACTTGGTATTCTTATGACTTGACCTCTCTCTCTCCTAGTTGATTATTCATTCTTTAAATAGCTCCAAAGGCCCTTTCTCCTGGAGCCTCCTGAACCAGCTGACTGCTCAGCATCTGTTCGTCTGCAGCTGGAATCTTCTCCATGTAGTATCACGGAGTTTTATTTTTAATCTTATGTGGTTTTGATGTGTCTCTCCTTCCTGCTCAACTTTAAGGTGGGGGCCACACCTATTTTCTTACTGTACACATCACACCTGTCCTGTGATTGGCACAGTAAATAGCTATAGACTGACAAATCAACCCTAGAACCCACAGCTATCATGTACCAGGTACTGGCAGCTGTCTGTTCCTCTTTCATTCTTAAAATCCAATTACTCACCCCACTGGGTGTCCGGGAGTCAGAGTGAAGAAATGAAGCCCTTGTTGTCAAGGAGGTGCAGACTGGTGGGAGAACCCAGCACAGTAACTGGAACTTTACTAGGATCCCCAGCAAGGCCGTTATGGAGAAGTGGGTGTATGTGTTGGGTTTGGAAGGATGAGCAGGACTTTACCAGCTTCAGAACAGAGACTAGAACAGGCATAGGAGCAAGGACCAGTGGATCATACCTAGAGTTAGGTTTCTGGAAGGGGAAGGGAGGCATGAAAGAGCATTGAAGCCAGGGAAGATGGGATGGGGTATGTCCTAGTTTGTTTCTTCATTGCTGTGACGAAATACTCTGACCACTACCAACTTGGGGAGGAAAGGGTTTGTTTAGTTTACATATCCCAGGTCACAGCTCATCTGGGAGCCCAAGGTAGGAAGTCAGGGCAGGAATTTGGAGGCAGGAGTTGGAGCACAGGCCATGGAGGAACGCTGCTTACTGGCTTGCTCCCCTGGCCCCTGTTCAGCCTGCTTTCTTATGCAACACAGGCCCACTTGCCCAGGGGTGGCACCACCCACAGTGGGCTGGGCCCTCCCACATCACTCATCAAGAAGATGCCCCTCAGACAGGGCCACAGGCCAGTCCAGTCGAGGCAATTCCCCAACTGAGGCTCCCTCAACCCAGGTGTGTTAAGTTGACACTAAAGCTATCCAGCACAGGGTACATATGGCAAGGGAGATGCCTTTCTGTGGGATGGTGGCCTCTGTGTGTATATGTGTGTGTATCTCTGTATGGTATGTTTGTATATATGTGTCTGTGTATGTGTGTGTGTGTGTGTGTGTGTGTGTGTGTCACTGTGTGTCTGTATGTGCATATTTCTCTGTGTGTGTGTCTGTGTGGTATGTATGTGTCTATGTGTCTGTGTGTGTGTGTGTGTGTGTGTGTGTGTGGTGTGTATGATATATGTTATCTTTCTGTGTATGTGGTGTGTGTATATTTCTCTGTGTGTGTGCCTGGTGTGTGTATCTGTGTGTATGTATCTCAGTGTCTCTGTGTGTGCATGTATCTGTGTATATGTGTCTGTGTGTATCTGTATCTCTGTGTGTGTACGTGTGATTATGTATCTGTGTATATTTCTGGGTGTGTCATATGTGCATGTCTGTGTGTGTTGGTCAGAATGAAGTGTGGTAGATTATCTTTGTGTCTCCATCCTGGAAGGTACCTCTGCTCCGTTGTACATTGGCATCCTCCACATTAGCTTCCTTATGTGACCAAAGCCTATTTGGAAACCCTTAGCCACTGAGCTCCAGTGCAGATGTCTTGGCTCTGAACTGCCACTCAGTGTCCCAAGGCAGAGTTCCCTGCAAGCCACAGTTTCCTCATCTGTGGAGTGGAGTACTAAAGCTGTTGGGATTCCGAACAAGCAAGCCAGTCCTAAGCACTTTATTGCTCCTCCTTCTTCACCCTGGAAGGAGGTATGTTCTAAGGCCCAGAGAGTTGACATAACTGTCTCCAAGCCAGGCAGGCTGGTAGCACAGTCCACACTGTCTACTGCTAGATTCTGCTCTGTGCAACTTGGCCTCTCTGGGCCTTAACCTCCTTATCTGCAAAATGGATACAACTATTACTATTAGTTGCTGGGAGGGTTGACTGCACACAGTGCAGGCAACCTAGTACCTGGGCTTGGATGAGTGTGTTATCATGGGCGGGTGAAGTTGTGAATGTTGTTATTTCTGTTATCAGACCATGTCTAGAGTTCTGGGTCTAACAGCTATTCTTCTACCCGATCCTGCTGCAGGCCAATGAGAACAGCCTGCTGAGTGCACAGCTCAAGGGCTTCCCCCTCTTCCTACACTCAAACCTGGGCCTGAAGGACTGCAGCATTAACCCTAAGTCCCCACTGCTCTACGTGACAAGGCCTAGTGAGGTGGAGAAAGGTGTGCTGCCGGGCGAGGACTGGACCGTGTTCCAGTCCAACCACTCTACCTATGAGCCTGTGCTGCTAGCCAAGACACGCTCATCTGAGTCCATCCCACACCTGGGTGCTGACCCCGGCTTGCATGCTGCCCTGCACGCCACCGTGGTCCAGGACCTGGGCCTCCATGATGGCATCCAGCGTGTGCTGTTTGGCAACAACCTCAACTTCTGGCTGCATAAGCTGGTGTTCGTGGATGCTGTGGCCTTCCTCACAGGGAAGCGCCTCTCACTGCCTTTGGACCGCTACATCCTGGTGGATATTGATGACATCTTTGTGGGCAAGGAGGGCACGCGCATGAAGGTGGAGGACGTGAAGGTAAGGGGAGCCTTGCAGACCTCAAATCTTTGAGTTCCCTGTTGTGTCATGCTCATCTGCACCTCTCCATGCTGTTAGCTGTTTGCAGTCCCACTCATCCCCACCCCAGCCACTTACTGTCTTAGCACATGTAGCAGTCATCGAAATTTTTAATGAAGTAGTAAAAATGGAGAAGTTTTGCATTTGGATTCTGGAGTTCAGGTGGTTTTCTAAGGAGGAAGAGACCTAGGTAGAAACATAAAAGCAACTGGGCAGGGTTATAATCTGCTTTTTAATCCAAATGTGATTGTTAATGCAGAAAAACGTCTATGTCATTATCAGAGCTTCCACAAAATCTTTATGAGTTCAAATCACCTAACAGCATGAAAGTGTATACAGTGGGATTCTTGTGTTGAATTCCCAAACCATTTTTCAAGCAAAAGTGTTTGTAAAAGTGCTTTGCAAACCACAAGACTGTACCCACCTGTATCACCAAGAATGAGAAGCCTGCAGATGAGGACCATTGAGCAACTTTGAGGTGCAGTTTTCCTCTAGTCAGCTAGTCAACAAGATACTGGGCATTCCTTGCGAAGGAGACAGCATGCTAACGGTAAGAGGGCATGTGTGTGTTGTCACCACAGAGGACAACCATAACAATAAAGCTGATGGAAACAAAACAGGGGATTAAATTTCCCAGAGCTACTGCTGCCTGCTGACCGGGTGTCCTCTCTTACAGGAGATTAACAAGGGTTTAGAGACGTATTAGCACCAAACTCAGACCTCTTTGATGCTGTAGGAGGCTTTAGAGAGAGATTGGCAGGCACATTTTCTCTCTAAGCTACACAGACCTGTTGGTGCTGTCCTCCCACACTTGGAACTTCTGGCAAGGCTGACCTGAGGTCAGGAAGGAAGGTTCCACCGAGGTTTGTGTCCTCAGAAGTTAACTCTGCAGAGCAGAGGCAGTGGTCTGGGGGAGTAAAGACCCAATTTTATTCAAGTCCCAGTGTGGCTGATTGACTAGGTGACTTGGAAAAGTCTCTTTCTATTGTGGAACCTAAGGTGAAGGGGTCCTGGGATGCCCCAAGCTATTCCTGAATTTGGGTTGCACAGTGATGCCTAGCTGGAGTTGGGAAGGGGTATGCCCTCATAGCAGGCTCTGTCCTCCTGCCCCTTGCCACAGGCACTGTTACTTTGACCTGGTTTTATGTGCTGGGCTTCCTCCTGACACTTGTTTTCTCAAGGGCTCTCATGTTGAGGGAAGATTAAGTTGATTCCAGTTGACCCTTCCCTCCAATATCTTCATGCGATGCTATGACTGATCGCCAACAAAGCAGATAGACCTATTGCCTGCTTGGCAGAGTCTTCCAGTTGCCCAAATTTGTTCCCACCAGTGTAGTATAGGTCTTTGCTGCACTAGAGACTGTGGTCCAGGGTGAGGCCTCCAGCTCTTTAAGACCTGGATCCAGCCTGTGGTCCAGGCTGACCTGGAACCCTCTATCCTCAGCCTCCTGAATACTCTGCCAAGCTTTTATCATCTCCTCTTTTCTTTTTTGAGACAGAGTTTCATGTAGCCCAGGCTGGCCTTGAACTTGCTACATAGTCAAGTCTGGCCTTGAACTCCTGCTTCTCCTACATCTGCCTCCTGCATGCTGGGTTGCTGGCATGCATCACCAAATCTGGCCCATTTCTCACATTTTTTTTTTTAAAACTATTTTATTTATTATTTTTATTTTATGTGTATGAGTGTATTCTTTTTTGAGACAGAGTTTCATGTAGCCCAGGCTGGCCTTGAACTTGCTACATAGTCAAGTCTGGCCTTGAACTCCTGCTTCTCCTACATCTGCCTCCTGCATGCTGGGTTGCTGGCATGCATCACCAAATCTGGCCCATTTCTCACATTTTTTTTTTTAAAACTATTTTATTTATTATTTTTATTTTATGTGTATGAGTGTATTGCCTGCATGTATGTGAGTGCAC